AACATGAAGAACTTTGCCTACTTCGTGTCTTGCTTGCTGTGTAATTATATTGTCTTCAACGTTCCAGCGAATAGGTTCAAGCTACGAACCTATCATCCTCAAAGATCTGAACTGGTGCTTACGAACCTCTCGAATAATCAGCTCCTTGGTCTGATACCGATGAAGACGAATTATTACCGGTCTAGGTCGAGCACCAGGATGTGGTTTAGCGATGAGTGTCCTATGGGCTCGATCCACTACAGGGGGGGACTGAAGTTTTAAAGTCGGCTGAGATGCTGGCTCTGCTCTCTTCTAGCATGTTGGCTATGCTAGTCAACGCCGTGCTATCCACTGTCGGAGAGGTGGCCACGTCATCTTCATTATCTGTCATAATAGTCGCCTTTTTCTTCCTTGGCATTTGTTAAATATGTTTGGGTTTCAAATGCAAGCTCTTTCTGTCTTGGTTGGGTTAAATTTCCTGAAAAATATAAAACTTTTAAAAAATGTCGCTGCGAAGAGCTGAGACGGTACTGCCTTCACATGCTTCACTAAGCCGGAAGTCGAGATGATATTTTATCTAGATCATTTATTTTTCAAAGGTTCATAACAGAAAGTTTAACATTATTATTTTTCTCTTTATTGTCTCTTCAGATTGAGTGTCTGTAATCTCTCAGAGAGAAGTTGTGAAACTCTGTCTTCACTACTCAGCTCCCAGCCCTCTAATTTGAGATAGCTTGACCTGAGTAACAATGACCTGAAGGACTCTGGAGTGAAAGTTTTGTCTTCTGGACTGAAAAGTCCATATTGTGAACTGGAAACACTCAGGTCAGCGTTCTTGAAATGTTCAGTAGATGAGGTTTAGAGGTTTACAATCTAAGGTTTAGATTGACTAATGGCTATTTTTTAACTCCTGTTTCATTTTTGGCTGCCATTTCCTGTTTGCATTTAGCTATTTTGCTATTCTCTAAGAGTATTTGTCATGTCTGCAGGTGTCAGGCTGCCTGATCACAGAGGAAGGTTGCAAGTCTCTGGTCTCAGCTCTTAGCTCCAGTTCTTCCCATCTGAAAGAGCTGGACCTGAGCTACAATAACCCAGGAGAGGCAGGAGTGAAGATGCTTGAGCAGCTAAGACTGGACACTCTGAGGTATGTAGATGGCCGTTACAGCCACAAACAGTGTCTGATAGATGAGGAAACTGGCTCTGTC